GTTTCCTGGAATATCTTGCAAAAAGATCTGAAGCTCTCCACCTTGACCTCTAAGTGGCTTTAAACATCTGCTAAGTTCCTGGGAAAAACCACTGCAGACACGTTCCTGTTTTTAGTATTTTAACATCACCTTACAACCTAGCTGAGTTTTTTTTGTTTCATTTTTTAATATTTTCTTTCACTTGTTCTTCTCAATTTGTATGCTTCCTTTTATGGTCGTCTATTGTTGTGTTTGTCGTCTACTGTTGTCATCCTTCTTTGTTAAAATAGGTCTCTCTTATAATGAGTCCCCGAGGCTCAATGGGATTAACCTGCATAAATAAAGGTGGAATGAATTAAGACATTTTCATTGTAGTACTTTATACTTATATTTGAGTTTTCGGCTGAAGAAAACCTTTTGCAACGTTTTCACCAACACTGACAAAAGATGTGAAATAATGAGACAGACTTTATCCTGCAGATGTGCTGCAGAAAACCTTTACAGTTTGCAGACAGACACATTTATTTCACACTTCTCAGTAAAAAAAAAATTTAAAAAAGAAGAAGCTTTTAAAGGTTCGTCTTTGTACTGTAGATAAAATGAAAGTGTTTTGATTAAGTAAAAGCAGAAATGGCATTTAGAGCTTTTCAGTCCCACTTCACATTATAATTAAAAACTTGCTTCAATATTTTGATTAGTTTCAGCAAAATCATCACAGTGACCTTCATCATCCAAGTTCCTCCACACGCTGCACCCCCTCCCTCTGCCACCCACGTTTCTCTGAAACAAAGATTTCTTAAGTTGAACTGCATGCGTCGTCATGGTAACAGTACCTGATTTCCTCCCGCGTTGTGACATTCGTAGACGCCCACCACCCCGTCGGCAAAATGTCCCAGGGTGTCCAAGCAGTTTCCGCCCTGCTGCAAGGCTCCAAAAGCGATGTCCTGGTGGTCTGGGACCCTGAAGACAAACAAACACACAAACAGAGCGTTAATGTCTCTTAACTACTTCTGTTGTGTTCCTGAGGTAAAGTTCAACTGTGACTTTTCAGAATGAAAAGGACAGAAAGTACATGAGAAACAAGCAAACCACACTATTTATTTTAAACAAGACAATGATGTAAAAGTTTTAAATGACTAACTTTTTTATATTCGATTGTCTTGTAATCTTTAAAAGTGGCTGTGATCAACAGTTCTCCAGACATGCAATTCAATTCAAAAAATACTTTATTAATCCCAAAGGAAAATTAATTGTTGTTATAGCTCATCATCCTGGTTTCATTAAAGAGTTGTTCTAGATCCTGGTGGCTTTGGGTAGGAAGGATCCCTTGTATTGGTCCGTCCCACAGTGGATCCGAAGAAACTGGCTGCAGATGCTGATCCATCCACCCGGACCCAGTAGACCTTTGGGTCCTCATGGGCAGCAGGAATGCCTGAATGCCGGGCAAAACTCCTCCTGCCAAGTCCCTCACGACCACGGACGGAACTGCAGGTGTTAGGGGACCTCCCACCGTCACGAGCCACGTTTCCCGCCAACTCCAGGATCTCAGCAGTCAGGCACTCGAGCACCGCCTCCGGGTATACAGGAATGCATCCACGGAACCTCCTTTTCAACTCATTTGGGATTTGGGGCTGTAGATAAGGTCTTATTAGAACTTTGAGATGTTGATCAGCAGCTCCCAATAGTAGAAAACCACCTTGTTGTCATGGTTACGCATCATAACAAATGTCCAAAAAAAAAAAAAAAAGATTGCAGTAAAAATCCTTTCAGCTGCACAGCTTCAATAATTTGATTTGATATTTGATTTAAAAAAAAAAAGTGATTTACATCCAGAAAAAAGAGGAATTAAAAGTTT